AACGCATGTGGATGGGAGATCCTGTCGAGGAGGATGCCTTCGGCTGTAGATGACAGTCCGAAGGCTCTGCGCACCGGGGGCCTCATATTGCCGAGGGCCCCTAGTGTCGAAGGCTTGGTTTTTAAGCCTTGTTCTCCTGTGATGTTTCTGAGCCCTATTCTGTCACTGGTGTCCTTCGGCCATGGGGCCGAAGGCACCCCCATGCCTCGTGGGTTGCCTAGAGCTTCACTATGCTGGGCTTGGCCCGTTTTGGCCTGTTGGGCCTGAATGTAATAGTAGGAGTATGTGGGCCGAGGGGTTCCTGGGCCATATACTCCATCACTATGAAAAACCAATAGATTTCTGGTGACCTAGGATGTGCGAATAAGTCAAAGGGGTGTTTGACAATTGGCTGTTGGCTGTTGGTTGGTTGCAGATCGTGTTGGCTAATTGATAACAACGAATTTAGTTGGTTGTTTTGCTCAGCCGATAATATTAGCAGTTTTTAGAATGATGTTTGGTTAAATGGTTGTTTACAATCAGGTGATGACTTGTTAAATGACTATTAAGAACATTAATACTATTGTATATCTTTAGTTCATGTAATTAATACAATTGCCAAGCCGTTGTTTTTTAAAACTGTAAAATTTATTTTACATCCTTCAAGTAACAATTTGTCCTCGAAATGTATATATACTATTATTATTGTTGTTATTATCATAACATAAAAATGTACTTAGTACTCCATATATTTTGTTAAATACACATAAAGCTAAAGAAAGAATATTGCTCTTTTTTGACTGTTGTTATTTTTCTCTTTGACAAAATATTAAGTAGACTATTGAAAATGGTTTTTGTGCGTGTGTGGGTGGGGGGGGGGGGGGGGGGAGGGAGATACGGAAAAGGAGGCCTGGGTAGTGAAGGAAAATCGGAAAAATCAAAGAAACAACCACTCCTAAACGCTAGGTTCCATAGCATTTCACATTTTGGCTGTTTGTGACAAAAAACCAAATGAAAAAGCCATTTAACCAAACACCTTATTATCTGGTGGGTTTGGTCAAGAAGCCAAGTATTGGTCAAACCAGCCAAAAATGGTTGGTAGGTTCTTAACCAATCACCCTCCAAAAACGAAGTAGGATTTTCTTTTCCCAAAGCTATTAAATAGCTGCCAATCTCAGCACCATGGTCCTTCATTAAACCATGTAACATTTTATTAGCTCATAACTTATTTTGTAAGCTAACATTCTCTTGATAACGACTTTCCACTTCTTAGTAACGGTATCAACAATTTACTTCCAATAAATTTTTGGCCATTCACTTTGGCTTCGGTTATTTGTTCGTGCTTATGTCTCTAAAACGGTTATGCATGGTTGTTGTGCACAAATTTCACAACAAAACAGTTCCTTTTATTGTCCCAAGAACCACAGAGAGAAAACTTGCAACCTGTTTATAATTTAATAGAGAGAAATGATGGAATCGAAAAGGGAAAATTCACTTGATAATTTAATTTAATAAACAAATATCAGAGAAATCCAAAAAAGGGTCTAGACAATTGCACTACCTAAAAAATACTGTATTTGGTTAAAATTGATGTATTCTCCATAATCCATAATAACAATAAAAGTAAAAATTTAAACGAAAATTACCAAAATAGGACTAAAAACGTTTGCATTTTCCAAAAAAGAACTAATATGTTTTTATTTTCTAAATAGGAGTAATTACTGTCATGTTTTGATAGTAATGAGATTTCAACTTGACAATAGTTTTCAAATTTAACAATGATGACTCTTATTTAGAAAATAATAAAAAGCATAACAATAATATTTTAGAATTTTTAAACGTTTTTGTTCAGGAATTTTCCTAAAATTTAATTTAAAAAGAGAAAGCCATCAGATAGGCCCCTGTACTATAGCGAAAATATCAATTATCCCTCGTACATAAAAAAACTCAATTGAACATCCGAACTTTTAAAAAACACTCAATTGAGCATTTTACCCCCGGTTGAAGTCCGGTTTCCGGTTACCAGCTAGTGTGGCACTTGTGTGGCGCCCGCGTTGCATTTTTCTTTTCTTTTTTTATTTTCCCTTTCTTTTCTCTTTTCTTTCCCTTTTCTTTCTTCTCCTTTACGCTCACCCGGAGTCACCCACACCGTTGACCTTCATCACTAACAAACCGCCACCCATGACCCACCACACCTATGCCGCCGGCCACCAAGCTACACGATATACACATGGGTACTACTCCAGGCGTTCACACCTGTACTCCCTCCGCTGGCTGCACAGATCCCGTTCATACCAGTGGGGAGGAATTCCAGACGAAAACCAACTCCGGCGAGATGGGACCGACGAGTGAATTAGAGGAGAGGCCCAAGGCATAGAGATTGATGCTATTGGGAGAGGTAAGAAGAGATGGAGCCTATAGATCCGGCCATGTGGTACCATGGAGGTTGGAGGTGAGGTCATTCCAGACTTCCAAGGTTGGGGGAAGAGGATTTGATCCAGTTTTTGAGCATGTGAAGTGGGTCTAACGAGATCATCATGGAAGACCCACTGGAAGTACGACGTGATCTTCGTCGCTCGGAGCATGTGGAGCAGTGGAGTGGTCTTCGTCGCTCGAAGCTGGAGTGTCCGGCGGAGGGAGGGTGCACGGCTGGAACAATATCCACATGTATATCTTGAAGCTTGGTGGCCGACGGCAAAAGTGCAGCGGGTGGCAGGTCGGCAGTGATGAAGGTCAACGAGGGTGAGCGTAGAGGAGAAGAAAGAAAAGGAAAAAAAGAAAAGAGAAATATAAAAAGAAAGGATTAAAGAAAAAGGAAAAGAAAAAATGCCACGCAGGCGCCATGCGGGATTGTTAACCGGGAAACTGGACCTTTACCTGATAAAACGCCCAATTGAGAGGCCGTTTGGCAACCCTCATTTTCGGCTTATCAGGTTTATCAGCCAACTTTTTTTACCAAATACGTAAATTTTGCTTTCGCGCGCTGAATTGTGTAATAAGCCGAAAAATTAAGGTTGGAGTTACTTTTCTGGCTGTATTGGCTGAAGTCATAGTAGATGACCATTTTAGCTATTTTTACATATAATATTTTCTTTATTTTATTAATAAAATATATTTTAAAAATATTTTTTTTCTTGTGTGAGCAAAATCAGCCAATGCAGCTAGGGGTGAGAAAACCCGAACCGAAACCCGGAAACCGGCCCTGGCCCGGCCCGAATTATGATATTGGTCCGGGTTTTTTCTTTTTGACCGGCCCGGATAAAAAAACGGGACCGAACCCGAAATTTCGGGCTCTTTAACGGGCCCTAAAATCTATAACCCGGCCCGGACCGATAAAACCTGAAACAATTAGCCTTAATATAAAATCAATATAATATACCAATATAATTTATAAATTAATTCCTAATATATGATTATAATCATGATGGACGAAAAAATGACTTAATAACTTTTAGTGACCACAAATATATTCAATTTATTTACCGTAATGACCATGAAAACATATTTATAGTAACTTTAGTCACATTTTTATCCATAAATTTTATTTCATAATATTTTTAGAACACCTATATTACTTATTTTTATGTATCTTAAACAAAATATTATGATAATTGTCTTCCTTGGATTTGAATTCTTGGTGATTTTGGAGACTAATATTTGTGCTTTTTATTAATTTTATTTACGGTTTGTACTTGTATTAATTTTATTTGAAAATAGATTTTAAAATATAAAAGAAAAATGAGTGATTTTACATTCGGGCTCTAACCGGCCCAACTCGAACCCGGACCGAACGTGGGATACAAAAAACCCGACTCGGACCGAATATAGTGGGCTTTTTTCGGTCCCTAATTTTTATAACCCGATACCTTACGTGTAATTTCCGGGTTTAGCAAAAACCCGACCCGGACCGGACCGATCCCACCCCTAAATGCAGCCACTTCAGCTAGAATTTCATAAATTTCAGCAGAATCAACCAAAACAGCCGAGTTTCGTGATGCCAATCAGACTTTGAGTGTTTTTTAAAAGTTTGAGGGTTAAATTTAGTGTTTTTCAATACTAGGGCCTAATCAACGCAAATTATATGGTGCAACCGGCGCACCATGAGGATGTGCGCCCGGTTGCAAAAACGATGCAACATCTCCTTTTCTTTTCTTTTCTTTTTTTGCTTTTGATGTTAAAAATGATAATAACTTTTTTATTTTTGATCCGATTTTTATAAAATCTATATCAACATTTTTTATTTTTCATGATCTTTCAAATGAGACCAATATTGTGTATGTAATTTTAAGAAATTATCAAACTATTATATTAATGAGTATTGGATTATAAGAAAAATCGAATCTGTTTGGGAGATGATAGATTTGTGAAATAGAAGATCGAATCTGTTTGGGAGTGGATCAGTGGCCTCAGTTACATTTGATAATACATTGAGTTACATCTTTTTATGAGCGAGTTACATCTTTTTATAAGCGAGTTACATCTTTTTATAAGCGAGTTACATCTTTTTATAAGCGAGTTACATCTTTTTATAAGCAAGTTACATATATATATACACACGAGTTGCATTTGACATGTCTGAATGTGACTTACATATATTTACACGTAAAGTTACATATATTTACACGTAAAGTTACATATTTATACACGCGAGTTACATATTTATACACACGAGTTGCATGTGACCTGTCTGAATGCGAGTTACATATTTTTTACGTAAAGTTACATATTGTTACACGTAGAGATACATATTTATACACACGAGTTGCATTTGACTTGACTGAACGTGAGTTACATATTTTAACACTTAAAGTTACATATTTTACACACAAATGTTAATATGTTAAAATTACATAGGCAATATTGGTCTCATTTGAAAGATCATGAAAAATAAAAATTGTTGATATAAATTTTATAAAAATCGGATCAAAAATAAAAAAGTTATTACCATTTTTTAAAAACAAAAGAAAAAAAAAAAATACAAAGCCGTCCCGTTATACGTGCTCACGGTATACGCACTCCTAATCAATGTTTTCCCGTTTAAAAAAGATTGCAGTTGGACTGTAAACGTATAGTCTGGATTGAAATAAGCACGTATAGAAATCGTCTCTTAATTTCATTCACCAGTTACTAGGGTTTCTTCAAGTATTCTTCATTCCTCACCCAGGATTAAGGCTGGAGGATTGACTGATAAAGGACCTATGGATCTGGAGGTTGTGGGTCGACACGCTCTTTTCTTCGATGACGATGCCATGGCGGCCTTTGTCAATTCCACGGATGCGCTTGTTGAGTGGAACTCTCTCACTATCGACCGCTACGACGTCCGTCACCTTCTCTCTTCCCCACCTCTGCAAACAAGGCGGTCGCTTTCTTCTCTATCTCATGCTATCGACTCGTCTCTTAAATCAGAGCTAGATTTGGAACGCTATCTCGATCTTCCAATATCTGTTAATCATCCAGGTGATTCATTTGATACGATGCATTTGTTTCCGTTGGCATGTACACAGTATGTTCCTTTTTTGAACTGAGCTCAGTGGAGAATCATTTTTTTTAGATTTTCTTCTTTAGTGTTTTTTTTTGACAGATTCTTCTTTAGTGTGTTAAGTGTGCAGACGCCTTTTTTTCAATAAAAATGGTTTGGTTTATGATTTGAAGTTACAAAGCGCAATTCATGATTATTCCATAAATCACACTTCTTTTGGAATTATGATTAGTTAACTACGTGTAAATTAGAATAAGAAATGGTAATTATAGGTAAGTGTGATAGGAAATAGGAGTTTGCAGTACAGATTTATCACATAGCACAAGGCCCATTTAGAAATGATTTGGCCTTACACCTGTTAGATTAAACCTAGGAACTGGTATTTGATGTTAGAAAAACAAGGCTTGTATAAATGTCTATAATCACATGATTCTTTTCTGTACAGAAAAAGAAGAAGATGGTGTACACTTGGACAATAATACAGGTAGATACAATGCCATCCCATTCTCTTATGTAAACGTCAATGGTAAAACTGAAGAAGTGAGCCCTGATATGGGGATGCAGAGCTCTGGATATCGTCCTCCCTTCAATGTGCCTGAACACCTTCAATGTTTGGTGAGTTTATGTGCTTCAGTCTACTTTTATGACTGTTGGGATTCTCTGTTACTTGCTAACAATGTTTCACCATGTGGAAGAGACGAGTGCCTAAATTCTATGTTATTCCTCACCATGTCTAAGTTTTCAGAATTCAAATGCTCGGAGCAGTGGAGTTAATGTCATCTAAGGTTGCCATTCACAGGTGGGATTAGGAATGTAATAATGTTTCTTTGCAAGGACAGTAATCTATATTGCTTGAGAGGAAATGCTCTACTTAATGATCATCATATTGTAAAAACTCTCCTAGTAGACAATTGCTTCACACATCTGATTAAATTCGGATCATGAGATTATTTTGTAAGATTCTAGTTTCTATTTGATAGTCTAATGTATTTGAAGCCAACTATTTGACAGAATACGTTTTGATTTTTTATTTTCCAGCCACCATCTGAGAAGGTCCATCAAATAATTGCAAGGACCGCTCTATTTGTTAGTAGTCACGGTGGGCAATCTGAAATTGTTTTGAGGGTGAAACAGGGAGATAACCCAACATTTGGCTTCTTGATGCCAAATCATCACCTACATCCATATTATAGGTTTCTTGTTGATCACCAAGAGCTTTTGCATTCCAATGGTGACACGAAACCACAAACTGGAGAAAGAAAGGTTGTCAGTGAGCCAGACGGTGCATTATCCTTGCTTGGTTCTGTTTATGGATCAGGAGAGGACGAGGACGTTTCTAACAAAACGACCTCCAATGAAGCTGTTGATGCAGTCCCTAATGCACAGAAGGGACAATTTAGTGCACTTGCGCCTAAGCAAGATGAGACAGTTTTGAAACATCCCTTTCATTCTGGTGGTTTTGATAATGAGAAGACTGATATTATAAAAAAGAATCCTTTGGTCAGTGGATTCAAGGGTGGAAGTGCAAGCTATAAAAAACTGAAAGATGACCATGTATCTGTGTCTGTTCATGCAGCACTAGAGAAGCTTAAGGCATCTGGTCTTGGGATAACACTTAAGGCTGAACCTGTGGCTCTAGAGCCTCCATCTGATTTGAAAAAATTGATTAGTAAGATTGTTGAGTTCATACTGAAGAATGGGAAGCAGTTTGAAGCAACACTTATAGAACAGGATAATAAGCATTGCAGGTTTCCGTTTCTTCTCCCGTCCAACATGTATCATCCTTACTATTTAAAAGTTCTCCATGATTCTCAAGAGGTGATCTCTCTCTCTCTCTAATATTGGTGTAAACAAGATGTGAAATTCACTTCACATTTAGGTCTGCTTTGAGATCACACATCTGGCTTTGATGTTAAAATATTCTGCATTCTAAGTTGTGTGGAGGACTGAGAATGTAGAACTTAAATTGAACACTCCTCTTCCTCAAAATGAGCTTCATTTCACAAACTTTTTTTTTGACAAAAGTATGGGAGTTCACTTTGAAAAACTAAAGCTTTTTGTAATGTCATATATCAAATATGTAGTAATTGCCCAAAAGAGTAACCTAACGGGCTAACCCATACGGCCATACGTAGTAATTGAAAAACATGTATCAAGTTACATATGTCAAATCTAGCTAAACTAACCAATGCGTTTTAGACATTTTTGTGGTAATGTCATATATCAAATACGTAGTAATTGCCCAAAAGAGTAACCTAACGGGCTAACCCATACGGCCATACGTAGTAATTGAAAAACATGTATCAAGTTACATATGTCAAATCTAGCTAAACTAACCAATGCGTTTTAGACATTTTGTGATTGTTGCACCCTACCCATACTAGCACGTTTACTTTTTAGAGGTAGTAGTGCTATTTGCAGGAAATGGGTTGACAGAATACGTTTTAGTGCTATTTACTCAACCAAAGCCCTGAGTAACAAGTAGAGTTGAAGTAGATATACACTTCTACTACCATACTAATCCAAATCACGAATAAATAAATACAACAACAAGAACAACGTCCAAGATTTAATCCCAAAAGAGTTTGGGGTAGGCTAAAAAAATAAATACGAATAAATAAATAAATACCTGTTGCTGAATGTTGTACGATGCTGAAGATGACAGAGGCAAATGGAAGAGAAGAAGAGAGAAGGGATGATGGAGTCATGGAGGTGATTCTGAACACTTCTCATTTACAAGTTTATTTTTTTGTTAAATTTGAAACAGCATACCTGTTTTTAAACTTTCCCCAAGTATATCACAACTTCCGACGCTTCAGATTTTCCCTACATTTTCCTGAACATATGATATTCTGATGTTTCCCACAACTTCAAAATCTTCTCCCAACATCTTTTATTTCAGATGATTCAGTTTTTTCCCAAGGTGATCCATGCGATCCTACTCGGTTTGCGATATTTTGTAAAACTAGACCTCTGAAAGTAGTTAGGAGCATATAATCGCAAGCACAAAGTAGATATACACTTCTACTAAAATACTAATCCAAAGCGTGAAGAAATAAGCAATTAAATACCTGCTGCTGGATGTTGCACAATGCTGAAGATGACAGAGGTAGATGGGGGTGATTCTGAACACTTCTCATTTATAATGCTTTGGATGTTGTAGTTGTATACTTGTTTTTAAATTTCCTGAAGTTTCCCACAACTTCCGATGCTTCCCTAAACATCCAACATTTCCCACAACTTCCATATCTTCTCCCGACATTTCTTATTTTCAGTCGGCTCCTACATTTAATGTATACAAATAATTATTCTTAAACGACCCTACGAGCCTGTGATTTTACACAACGATCCATCCGATCCTACTCACTTTGCGATATTTTGTAAAAACTAGACCGCTGAAAGTAGTAAGAAGCACATAGTCTCATGATTCAATGATCTGGATAGTGATTTTGACTATCATGCTCAGAATCGAGTTTTTTCCAAATCAATTTTGACCCGGCAACATAACTTGTTTTTTCCTAATTTAAGTGGCAGCATTAAAAATGAAAAAAAACTGAACACAGAGTAAAGTGAAAAGACATCTAAAAATAAATGCCTGCATCACAGTCGAAGTTTGTCTTTTCTTTCTTCCTTCTCTTCTTTCTATCCTCCCCTTCTTCTTTTCTCCTTTCTTCATTTTGTATCTTTATTTATGATTTTATCATCTCTTTAGTATGTGAAGGACACTAAGGGCCCATTTACTTATTTCTCCTGTTTTTGTTTTCTGTTTTCAGTTTTCATTTTCCAAATCCGCACACATGTTTTCCGAACTTCCTTTGTTTTCCATTTCATTTTTCAAAATCATAAAGTAAGTATATACATTGAAGATATGAAATCTGATAGAACTGAAGGTGAAAAAAATGACAAATATTACCTGACAGTTAATGTGTGTATAATGCAAAATAAAATACTCGTAATTAGAAACATTTGAAATAAGACCATAAGTTTACATAAATGATAATCCAAGAACAAGACTTAATAAATGACATTTTTAATTAGAGGCTATATTGTCATTAAAAACAAATACACAACACTAGTAATACTTTGACGTGAAAATTCTGGATCAGAGTTAGTATTAGAAACTTATTTTTAAAGCTACACGTTTTTTCATAACATGTTTGAGTATATAACATTAGTAATACTTTTTTTAAAGACACATGTTTTTCATGATCTATGGATCAGAGTTAGTAATAGAAACTTATTTATTTTGGGGAAAAATTATGATACCCAAAAAAAGTTATAAAACACTAAAAATGTGAAAATTGATTTTTCTAATTTAATAGATAAAATATACAGAGTACTACATATTATTCAACATACACCGTTGCACAGATCTTGAAACAAATACAAGACGCAGTGTAGCGCTGCGTATTTCCATTTTGCAAAGCACTAAAAAGTGAGTTCTCCAACTTAAGAAGAAAGTCAGAAACATGTCTCTGTTTTCCATAAACAGGTAAACATGTTTTCCAGTTTCCTAGAAAAACATAAAATATTCCTATTAGTAAACAGGCCCTAATTTTTTGCAGCTCAGTAATTTAGTTATTATTACACTTTTGATTTGAATTAACATGATAAAGTAGTAATCCATAGATTGTATTTCTTACAGTCTTTTATTATATATTATATCCAAGTGTTGTGTACATCTACTTGTTGCTCAGGTGGTCGCCGAGTCACCAGGCTACAAGGCAGTCTACTGTGCCATGCCTTGCTTGAGTTGAGCTTTAGTAGTCTATCAAACCCATGAGAACATGAAACTCAATATTCTGTCTGGTTTTGATTTTATTTTGTGAACATGAAACCTTTATTTGTATGCCACATCTTATATCCTAATGCCATATTAAAGTAAATTGATCTCTCCCATGCAATCTAAACAATGTGCCACCTCTTGTTACAGACAAAATACAGTGGCAACAGATTACAATCTGGGAGTGATGGTTCACTTGGGAAACGACCAGAAGAAGGAGCCTCATTGTCTTTAGTATCTGGTGATGGTGATCTTCCTTATGAAAATGATAAGAAGGAGAAATTTAAGATGGTGATTGGGAAATCAAAGAAGGAATCACAGGAACAGTTAGACAAAGCTCCAGAGCAAGAGAATGGAGGGTTCAGTGTAGATGCCGCTTCGGCTGCCGCGATACTTCAAGCGGCTGCCAGGGGCATCAAGAATCCCACTTTAGCAATATTCTCAAAAACTGCCGAGAATGTTGAGACTAGTGCTGAAGCCGATTCTTGTGATCCACAGTTAAGCAAGGAACAGCAGCTGAAAGCGGAGAGATTGAAGAAGGCAAAGATGTTTGTGGCTATGCTGAAAAATGGGCCTGTCCCTTCAATTAAAGGTGAGCCTTCATGTGCAGTATCATTAGAACCACAATATGTTGGTCAATTAGATGGTAATCATTCAGACCAAGGCGAAGGACTGAAATTTATAGACGAGTACAGTGCAAAGCGATCAATGAGGAAGTACAGATCAAAGTCTTCGAGACATGAAGAGGATGAGGGAGAAACAGAACATCAATCTCTTGGTAGTGATCACACATCTTTAAGGGTATGTTTGGACCCTGGAAACTGATATGGAAAGGAAAACAATGATAACAAAAGTTCTTTTGTTGTGTTTGATTTTACCGTAGGAAAATGCATAAGAAATTAAGAAAATGAATTAGGATGGTCATTTTTTAAAATGTTGTTCTCCCTTTGTTCAATCTTGTTTTCCCTTAACTTGTTTTCGGGCCGTGCATAATAGTTTTTACTTTCCCTTTTAAAGAAAGATTTGGGTGGTTGATATTGCTTTTTATTTCTAAATAAATCCATAACATAATTTTAATTGCCCAAACTGTAATCTATAAAAACAAGAGTAGAACAATTGGGACACAAGGGAATGATATCTTTAGGCCTCTTTGTCATTAAATAAGAGAAATATGTAGTATATAAATTGGTGAGTTTGAACTCGTAGAAGAGAATTATTGAGTTTGTTAATCTCTTGTAATTTATCTCTCTATTTCTTTTCATAGCATATACCGGATGATGACAAAGGAGAAAAAAGTGAAGATAGGAAGGAATATAAACATTCTAAGAGGAAGAAGCACCACCAGTCACATCACTCAGATGAAGATAATGATGCTTCTGACAGATATGAAGAGGAAAGGCGAGGTCGGAGACACTCTAGGAAGAACCACCGATCCCATAATAAGTGTGATGATGATGATGATAAGATAGATGAAGAAAAACACCATAGACACTCCAGAAAAAAGCACAAATCTCATAATTCCTCAAAGAACACAAACAGACATGAACGGTCAAAAAGAGCTTCCCATTATGATGATGAGCAGCATAGAAACAAATCTGATAAACTAAGAAAAGGTGCTGCTGAAGGGGAAGATTTGGAGGAAGGAGAGATTAGCAAAGTGTCGGATCAGTCCACTAGAGGACCGGTATGTAGAGAAGCTTCGAATGACGTTTTAAGTCCACAAAGATCAACAACTCAACCCTCTGATGAACTTAGGGCCAAGATACGTGCCATGTTGATGGAAGCTAGAAGGTAGAGCCGTAAGCTCGATATTGTTACCTTTGGTGTTTGCCGGTAAAGTTATAGGCTTTTTGTACTGAAAATGTGTTAATATCATACTCCGTACTGTTGTACCATTTGATCCCCACTTGATAATCATTGTTTTCCCTCGTCCAAGTTTATTAAAGAGACATTTTTTTATCTTCACTTGAACTATTGAACTTTCAAAATTTATTATTACTACGTTCCCTAGTAATATAGGATTATTGGGAGTCCATTTCTTTGGGTGACATTCGAGGAATATAGTGGATTCATGGATTATTACATCGATTTTTTTATCTAGTATGTTTAGGTCTGGTTTGAACTAGTCTGGTCTGATTTGATAGATATCTGAGAATTGTACAATGAACGAAGTCTGGGATTGGAATTGGTTCAACTAAAAATACCATTAATACGCTGGTACTATCGATAGAGCAAAACATGCAAGTCTTAGTCCCAGAAGAAGATGAGGATGATGTTGAGGTAGATACTGCACAGTCGATTCTGCACGGTCAAACTGGTGAAGGAGGGTGGGGGTGCAGAAGTCTCGTTTGCGGTGGTTTGGGCATGTGCTTAGAAGATCGAGTGATGTACCTGTTAGACGACTTGAGGGGTGGACAGAAGAGGCATAGAAGAGGGGAAAATCCAAATAGACTTGGATAAGAGGAATCAGAACGGATATGCGTCTTCTTGGGTTAGATGAGAGTATGACTTTGGAGAGAGCAAAGTGGAGGGCACACATTCGTGTGGACGGCTGATGTCTTTTCTACCTTTCCTCTCTCTTTTGTTTTTCTTTTTTTTTCTTTTTTCTTTTATCGCTTATCTTCCTTATCTTTTTATTTTTTTATGTTATTTTTATCTTCTAGCTTTTTTTTATGCTCTTTTATTTTTTATCGTTATCTTTTTTATATTCTTATGTTATTGTTATCTTATACTCCGTATTTGTTTATCTTTATTTTATTTATTTTATCTTACTTTTTTTTCTTCGTTCCCTTTCTTGTTCATCTTCTCTTTTTGGCATTTTTGATATCATAGATAGATTCATGTTAGTTGACCCCAAATTCTTTTGGGATTAAGGCTTGGATGTTATTGTTGTATTGGTATACATAGTTACTAGTATTACTTTCTTGTATTTATATATGGTTTAAAAAGTGTATTGAGATGGAGAGGGGAAAATTAGACTTTGCATGTAAAACTAACAAAAGGTATTTTTAGACCCAAGAATTAGTTTGAGAGTTATTTAGAACTATAATAAAAAAAGATGGTATTATCTCTTGTGTATTCGTTGAACTTGCAAATATTTTTAACCACTGCACCTTAGTAGTATAGGATTCTTGGCCTTGGGAGAGTCTATTTGGGTGAAATTTGAGGAAAATTGGTCCCAAAGTTTCCCATTGGGTGAAAAATCTGATTGGTACTTGCCCGATTTACCCGGACTGATGCTATCAAACTCTAGATGAATTAATCCATACGACTTCCCAATATTAATTCCTCTTTTGAATTCTCATATAGATCAAAATCAGTAATATCGATGATGGAGAAATAGTATAAACCACAAATTCTTAATGAAAATGAAGTTTGTTTTGAGACATTATAAGAAAAGTATGAAGATTATTTTGACAAAAGTGAAGTAAAATGATTGTTTTGCTTGTTAAACTATGGGTACCTAATAGAAAATATTTATAAAAATATTAAAGCTTATTTAATATAAAAATATGACTAAAGTTATCATAAACATAAAAACTGAACATAAGTTACTATGACTATAGTTACTGATACAATCATAATATTTAAGAAGTCACATTTTTTTAAACAATCTTTTATTTAGTAAAAAATATGTTTTTTTTGAAGAATTCCAACGGAACATAACAATTCGATAAACCCACAAAGATGTAGACTCCTCTATCAAACATATAAACCAGTTTCACCTTCCACCGAAATAATAGAAAATCTGATTTAATTTGTCCAACCAATTAGAAAGAAGCAACTAGAATCTTCAGTTTGACAAGCTAATGGGAAGAAATTGCAAATATCAACGGTTTGACCAACCACCGAAAAGAAGACCCAGTCGAATGCTATCTTTCTCTTATAACATGACAGTGGTTCAGGAGAAGGGCGCATAATTGAGGTCTTGGAGTCACCGATGTCTGAAGTTAACCTCCCAAACAAATCAAGCATGACAAGCATTGTCATCCATTAACAATAAAACTTCAACACCCGATCGGTTTCACCGACGAGGAATAAACAAACCATAGACATTGCTATGAAGAAACCACAAAAAATAACTTGAAAATACTTATGAAGGAGATAGATTTTAATCTCTAGGAGGAGAAAACTGATTGAAAAGAAGAGAAGATATGGGAGACAACTAGGGTTTTACCCTTCATCGCTCCCCTGTAATAAATATGTTATTATTTCTACTTAATACTAAAAGTGATGTGAAATTCTATAATAGAAGTATCGTGTTACCTTTTCTAAATGTGAGTAAATTACTCCCATTCTTTGATAATACTATCATATTTTTGTTTTCTCAAACCCTAATATGACATGTATTAATGCTATATTTGATAGTATTTTTAAGCATGAAAATATTAACTTTTATTTAAAGAAAAATATTTGAATTTGTATATTGTGATAAAAATAATTAGTTACTACATATTGTTTATTTCTACTTGCTTTAGTGTAAAAACTTTATGCATTGAAATTAAGTAAGTAATAGATAATAGTTTGACAGCGGAAAACAAGGTAAACACAATGCTATTAATAGTTTAACCCTCTTCTTTGTGGTTTCTCTGTTGGCTAAGTACATTGCTAATTGAAGATCATAATTATTGATTGAAATAGATGTTTTTTTACTAAACTTTTCGGTTTGTTTCGTACTTTTGTTTTAAACTTAAGTTTTTAGGTTTGGAATGATGATAACCTTGAACTAACTTATTTGATTTCTTATAAGGGTTAATTATCAAAATAGGATTAAAAGTCACTCACTTATTTTGAGTTTTTGCCATAGTTTTAGTCCCATTTGGAGTAATTTCTATTCTTATAATTTCAAATGTTGAATGTTTTTATGTGTCACAAACTTAGAGGTCATTGTAGGAGATTAAAAAAAAAAACAGAAACCGAACCCAATTGATATTAAGGGTTGAGCTTTTTTTGAATATTCCAATTGTTTTGCTTAACCTGACGAGCGCTGTGCAATTCAATCACATAGCCTAATCTCGTATTGCAATTGGCAACCAAAATTCCGAAAATCACAACAATAATGTGGCTAATAATCGCTCAATTAAAAATGATCTTAGATAACATTGGAAGCCACAAATCCCAGTTAGTATCCCCTGCTTCCAAATCATAAATTACTTTCTGATGTACAAGAATTTAATACAAGAGCAAACAATATACACAAACTGAAACTGCCTAAGCAAATATAATACTAGGATGGAATTAAAATGATCATAACAGCAGGGGCCGACCCAGGAAAGTTATCTTGGGAGGGTGAAAATATTTTTTGGAGGGTTCAAAATATTTTTTGGGAGGGCGAAAATTATTTTTCGTATATATGTACACTAAAAAAAATTGCTGGGTGCGGTAGCCCCCTGGGTCTCTACTACGGTCCGCCCCTGCCATGGGCGGAGCTAGGGTGGGCCAATCTAGGCCATGACCCACCCCAAAATTTTAAAACAGTTTAATTTTTAAGGTATAAAATTTCGTGTAAATTTTTTTTCTAAAAATATTCTTTGTACCGGCTCAATCCGGCCCAGTGCCCTGGCTCCGCCTCTGCCCCCTGCATAACAGAGAAATGATCCACCATATTCTCGATCTCTTCCCCTTGTTATTATTAGGGTGTTGTTTCATGCACACCCAATGGTAAGAAGTTGTGTATGTACATCAAAAGGAGACATAACATATCTGTATGGATACAAAAAAAAACCCGCACGGGTAGCTCAATTAGTCGAGTGGTGGGAGATTTGGAACAATGGACCAAGGTTCGCCGCAGCGACCGGGTGGAGGTCACATAACCTGAAATAAGGCTGAGTCTCTGGTGCGCACGGGTGTATGAGCCTACTGCTATTCTGCTGACCGAGTCACCGTGATTAACCTCCCCACCATCCTGTCGTGTCAGGGTGAGGAGGGGGGGCTCCTAGGGTGGGAGGTTCCACCTTTTGGAACAATGGATACAAAAAGAAACACAGGCACATTATTTAACGCTGTTCTGCTGAGGCACTAGACATGAAAGTTATCCGTGCATAGCATACAAAAATGGTGACAACTCCGGTCCGTACCTACCACTCACTTGATTGGTTCAAATCATTACATCATTTTTAATTTAGATTTAAATAATTCGACTACATCATTCTTATCAATCCATGTGGACAAAGGTATGATACCTTAAGGGTACCATAGAATCTACCTACAAAAATAGGTAGCAGACGACTCATCATCAGAGGACAACAATTAGAGACGTTTTTATTTGAGCTCATTTCAATCTCAGACTAAATTAAACTTCGACAGTAGTAAAATACAAATAGAACAAATATCTACAAGACGAGACTTTAATAGACTAGAATAGATCAGACAAACCGATCTAGTTAAGAAAGAAACCTCTTAAGCCAACAAACTCATGTTATCTCCATACCCATTACCAGGGGCAGACCCAGGAAAGTCATCTTGGCTGGCGAAAATATTTTTTTGGGGGTTCAAAATATTTTTTGGGAGGGAGAAAATTATTTTTCTACCTAGCTGATGGATAGTCTACCCGGGGGTATATATCCGAGGGGTTATTACGGGGAATAACTTAGAGAGAAGTCAGAGCAAGTAAGTAAATGTAGAGAGAGAGTGTATTCAATATGAATGCCGTTTTCAGCGTCGTTACAAATGAGGAAATGAGGTGCTATTTATAGTAGCAATAAATGCCGGGCAGGGACACGTGTCAAGCGCTTATTGGCCGAGGGGTCATCTCAACTGGTTGGCGCTGGCAGCCGCATGTGGCCGCATTTAATGCGGCTGTTGGATGGGACGTCTGTGCGGGGTACGGTGATCTGTACGCATGTGAGGCGGATATCTTGTCGAGTGAGATGCCTTCGGCTATAGAGCAGTAGCCGAGGGCTCTTCCACCCGATGGCACCCTGGTGCCGAGGGCTCCCAACGCCGAGGGCTACTGTTTTCGCCGTTTTCTCCCAGTTTCTTAATTTCCTTGAGAAACCCGTTCTGTGAGAATTTAGAGCCTTCGGCCAGGGGGCCGAAGGCACCCCGGGCGCGTTGTGTG